TATTGAACAAAAATACTATTTTACAGAATCTCAAACAAAAATGAAAAACTTTTTTATTAGGGCCGTTAATAAAACTTCGAAAAATCCCGTTTGTAGATCTAAGTTATATGCATATACAAAGTTTCATAAAGTCGATGAAAGTATAAAAAATTTAGACACATCCAAACATATAAAAACTCTTCAATTTATCTCAGTAGTAGACCGAAAGTCGTAAGAACTATTGACATTAGTAATCGCCCGTAGCTCATAGCAATGTTAATCAATTTTTATAAGCCTCTATATATGCCTATAAGCTACTCATATCTATAAATAGGGTGTATCAAAGTTTTATTAAAGATTCTAGAAAAAAGATAAAAAATCATGTCCTTTACTTTTCTATTTAATAAGATTCGATGAATAGCAATTTCTTTAAATTTTTGTAACTTATTATATAGTAAACTAAGCCTTCTAACATCCTACAGAAAATTAAGTTGTTTGGTCTAACAGTACAAAAGTTATTCCGTTTTGAAGCGTGTTATATCAATAGGAGTCACTGTAAGTATTGACGATTCTATTCCGCAACCTCGGCGTTGTTCTATTATCGGGGAGGAAGGGGAACTTGAGTTGGGACGAGAGTTTCGAATTTGTGACTCACCGCAATAGTACTCTATTCTCAAAATAACACGTACTCCTTTCTTTTAGCGCGGAATGTGATGTGCCCAGACCAATTGTCGCCGTGCTACGTCTATGACTAATTAACATCTAACGTGATTCACGCTTACCACATTCCCATGTATTACATTCTCGTGAAAGCATATTTTTATTTAAACCCTTCGTCATTTTACGTAAAACATAATTTGATTTATTCATGAATAAAATTAGTCACAGTTATTGCATACAATAAAGAGTGGAACTGAACCTTCTAAAATTGAATAATTTTTTTAAAATCATGCCAAGCGATCGGAGTTTTTTTGTAGTTAGGTGGATTAGTTTATTAAGTTATGTGTATAAAATGTGTTGAAAAAATTAGAATTAGTAGAAATTTTTAGGAGTAATGTGAAGACCGCTTTCTCACCTTTTCTTATCTGAGCATGTAATGAAAAGTAGAGGAACACATTTTGAACATTTATATGAGATAGTTATATGCTGAAAATGTCATCCAAACCCGTTGGCGCTGAAAAGAACGACAGGCGTCGAAACATGTAAATTTTGAGCCAAAAGTCGTAAAAATTGCAATTTTCATCACCTTCACTTAATTATAACTCATAACCAATTTTGATGAAATTTTCAGCATATACTTAGCTCATATAAATGTACAAAATGTGTGGTCCAAATTTTCATTATAAGCACAAATAAAAAAGCTGAAAAAGTAGTCTTGACTCTTTTTCCTGCTTAACTTCTTTTTCTTAAAATTTCCTTTACACATCATTTGATGAACTGGCTCATCTAACTACTAAAAAAGAAACTCTGATCGTTTCGCTTCAATCTTTGAAAAAGTATTCCGTTCTAAAAGATGTTGGTTCAGTTTTGCTCTTTACTGTTGAAATAGTTTGAATAAAGTATCAAAATATGGAATTAAAGCCAGAAAAAGGAATTTAAATGTGTTGGTACCATGACGAATTCCTCGGGAGTTCGTCGATCGGCGAAATCTACCCTGGCAAAGGGCCCGCAAAAACAGTCACATTGTGCGGCTATACTAAATTTAACGAACGACGAATCGGAGAAAGTTGTTCCCGATTGACACCTATCGATATTAACAGCCGCATCTTAAAAGGCTTCGAGTAAATAAAAACAGACCTGTTCTCAAATCATATGCACGAACCTCTACAAAAAAGATATAATACCTTGATATTAATTTTTCAAGTGTTTAAAGTTTGTATGCTTTAGTAGAAGGGTTGCAAATAAGCTATTAAATCTTTAATTTAATTGAACATCAATTAGCGTTTAGTTTTTAATTCAAATTTGATGAATAAAGAAAAAAAATTGTTTAATTAGCTTGATTAGAAGAAATTCGAATTATCGATTGAATTTCAATTCTCGTTATATAGAATCTTAGAAAGTAGG